GTCTAGAAGCCATGAAGTTGAACCAGGACAACTTGATTGTTCATCTTGCCCTTCTGCTCAGCTTCTTTTTAGCTCCCATTCAATCTCTCTGTAATTCTCAATACCTCCAAGGAAATTCCTTCAGGGGGCTTTCACCCGTTCCAAGCTTAATATTTCATTAGATAGATCATGTCCAGTTGGTGTGGATAATTCTTATTTCCCTAACTGGAGATAAAATCTTCTAGTCTTAAATTTATATGTGTTTCTATTTCGTGGACTCCCTCTCCAAAGGCAAACTCATCTGCCTCTCTGAGCGCTATGCCCCAGCTATCTATAGAATGTATATAATGATCTTAACAGTCAGAGATATTGAACACCATCTCAATAAAAAGTTACAACAATTATAATTTTAACTATAGGGGAATGTTTATTGAATGCTAACTATATGGGAAATGTTGTTTTAAGCACTTTAAATGTTTGAACCATTTAATTTTCAAATACCCATTAATAAGGTCCTGTTGATATCCCCATATTACAACTGAGGAAACTGAGGCACAAAGGTTAAATACTCATAAAAATAGTAAATGGCAACCCTGTGAATTCATTCTGAGCATCTGGGATGTATATAACAGGACTCGGCCCATAAGCAGGTTATCAAAACATACCTGCTTAATTTGAGCCAAGCCTTCAGGGAGGCTTCCTTATCTGTCCTTCTGCCCGCTGTCGAATTCCCTCTCTCCCCACCTTGTACGCCTCCAGGCTCTAGAGTCATTTTTACATCTGCTTCCCTTAGCATTCAGTCATAATAGGAACTACTGGAAATTTGACTTCATGAATTATACTGCAAGAGGTCAGGTGTATGTTTGACCTTTCCATGTGTGATAGTCACAAATAGCACAAACTAGAGAAGGTGTTACTTGAGAAATAAATTTAGAGTCTGGGGGATAAGAAATCCAGCTCCCTGATAGATCAGGAGGGTGAGTTTAATGAGGGTTAACCCCAAGGAGTGAAGATTCTTTTCAGGCATAGTCTTAGAGAGAAAGAAATGGGAAGAGGGTAGGAATTTGGAAGAAAAAAGCAGACTAAGGTTCAAATCCTGGTTCCCTGCATGATTTGGGGTAAGTCGCTTATCACTCCTAAACCTCAATTTTCTTGTATCTTAATTGAGGATGGTAATGGCTGTCATGGAGGGTCACGGTGATGATTTAGAGGAGATAAGATTATGCCGCGTGGCTACAAAAGAACTGACCACGCGGTTGGGCTCAGGGCTTAGTTATCCAGAGCCAGTGGAAGAAGGCTGCTTGTTGTTTCTCAGTGAAGTGTGACAACTGCTGGCGCTCAGAGTTGCTGCTGAGAAGCTCCAGCACCGTAGCCAGGGCTTGGTCCCTGTGAGCTGGCAGCATACCTGCTGTCCCAGAGCCACCTGAGCCACTCAGTACACTCAGAGGCAGAACAAAAGGCAGACGCTTCAGCAGCAAGCTCCACCAGAGGAAACATCTCTTCAGAGACCTTTGATGTTGGTGAGAAATGGACTATTCTCTCTTACTCGTCCATCTATCCATCCTCTGTACGTGAGTTCCTTCACCCGTCTCGCCAGCACACATCAGCCACCGCACCACCTCGCCATCGGCTGATGCCTCACTGAGGCAGCCATCCAACCATCAGACCTAACATCCACCCTTCCACCTCTCCATTATGTACAGGAATCAGACAAACCTGGATTGGAATCCTGGGTCTTGCTTCCCAGCTGAATTTGGACAAGTCACTAACCTCTCAAAGTCCTCTCGTCTGTGAAATAAAGGGAAATCAGCTATATCTGAGGTGAGGATTTAAAGACAGAGTGCACATACCCATGCCTGGCCTGAGCAAACCATTATACATCCGTCCCCTCTGCTTCTGCAACTGGGCCAGGATTTTTACAGGGAGAAAAACCGCTACATCTCGCATGACATACTGAGAAATGCATTTTATTTTTATACTTTAAATCTGCAGTGTTTTAGCCATGTGCAGCCCCCGGGGGCATCCCGGGATGGGAGGCGGCCAGAGCAGTTTGGGGTCGTGCTCCCTCCTGGACTCACAGCAGAGAGTGCCATCTAGTGGACTGGCAACCAGTGGGGTCCCTGGGTAGGGCTGCTGTCTGCTGTTGGGTGAAGCCAGCCGGGACGGGAGGTCCCAGTCCCCAGGCTGCAGAGTGCCCTTTCTCAGGTGCGGTGCACCCACTGCACTCAGAGAGGCCTAGACTGCCGGCACCCTCTTGTTTTGAGGCCGATAGCTAGCTCAGTGTTGCCGACCCTGGCCCAACTCCCCTTTAAATGTTTCCAGAATCGGGTGGAGCCTGCAACCTGCTTGGATTCTGTGTCTCCCCCTCTCTCTCTCTGCCCCTCCCCTGCTTGCGTTCTGTCTCTCTCTCTCTCTCAAAAATAAATAAACATGAAAATAAATAAATAAAAATAAGTAAATACATAAATGTCCAGGAAAAAAAAAAAGAATATTCTAGCACCTCCTGTTTGCTGCGTCTCTGCCATCCATCAGAAAAGAGGGCTAGGGGTTTCATGTGCACGGCCTCTAATCCTTTAAGTGACCCTTAGGGAGACCCGAAGTTGCCCCATTTTCAGTGAGAAAACTGAGGTTTGCTGAGGCTGGGTTACTCACGTCCCGTGCGGGTTATACAGTCAAACCCCAGAATCTGTGGGAGCACTTACCTCCTGTGATCCGAGTGCCCCCTTGAAAATGCAGGAAAGAATTTGGACACGGATTCAAACACACCAACTGCAAGAGAAATTTAAGAGTCAACTGGGGATATTTGAATGCTGAATAGATGCTGGATGACATTAAGGAAAGGCTGTTAATTTTTTAACTGTGAAAGTGGCATTGTGGCTACATTTTAAAAACAGAAAAGAGTCCTTCTCTTTTACATGCACTGAAATGTGCTCAGAGGAAACAATATGGTGTCTGGAATTTGCTTCAAAAGAGTCTGGGGTGGGGGCTGGGCAGTTTGGGGCCTCAGCCTGAACACCAGGGGCTAACAGCTGTTGGCACCTGGGTGGCAGCACCGTGAAAACGGTGTAAGTTGTGATAAAAACAGGTATTCTTTTCTCTGCCTTGGTGCTGTTTCAAAGTTTACAGGATGGAAGGGTTGAAAGATCAACAGGTAAAAATAAAGTGCAGGAGGGGAGGGGGTTGGAGAAGGGAAGCTGTTTAGAAAGGCAAAGGGGCCCCAGGTCCATCCTAAATGTCCCTAGTATTAGGGAGCTGATTCGTAGAAACAAATGCCTCAAAAAGTGGGAAGGGTGCAAGCAAGGGCCCAGGGCTGGTGGGAGCAAGCCGTTCTGAAGTGGGTGGATTAAGGAGAAAGTACTAGGGAACAAGGGTGTCACGGAGCAAGATACCCACTAGTCACCCCCCCAAGGGGTCCTCCCCCCCAGGTTGTCTTGATGACCTTCCACGGGCTCTAAAGGGACCTTACAGCACCCCCTTCTCCAAGGCAGAGGTTCCCCCACCTGATGAATTGGCTGGTAAGGATTCAGCTGTCTAGCTTTCAGATGCTTTTTTTTTCCTCTTTGGCTTTATTTTGTAATTGCATTTTTGGGAAGAAAAGAGTTAGTGCTTTTCCCCTCAAACTATGTGCCAAGCTGCCCTCACCGTCCTGAGCCCCTTCCTCCCCGCCCCCAGCGCCCGCTTCCCCATCAGTCACATCACCCACCGTGCAAGCCCCCTGACACTCAACCCCAGGTGTGACCAGCTTCCCCAGACCCTATGGAGCCCCCCGGGCGCCCCCACCACTCCCCCGTTCTGGACCTTCTCCGGGAGCCAGAGTCTCTGCGCGGTGGGCTTCCCGGACACCTCGCCACCCTGGAAACGCTCCCTCCCTCATCCCTCTTTCCCCATGTGGAAGCCCCCCCCCCACCCGCTGCATTGCAGCGCAGTCCTCAGTGAGGGAGGGGGCGCAGCCTGTGGCCAGCCGGGGCCAGAGCCTGCGGCCCCCTCCCAGCCTTCCCGGGACAGGGACCAACCCCCTGTCCACTCTAAGCCCAACGCTGCGTGCCAGTCCCTACTGACTGTCTCCCCCTCCTCACTTTCCGGGCTCAAAAATGTGGCCCAGGCAGCCCCCTGGTGGCACGTGGGGGCGCCACAGACGCTTGGCTGGTGTCTGAAGGATTCAGACTGTCTGATCCCACTGCACCGTGAGTTGGCACAAATCTTAAGTGGCCCAAGTCCTACCCGATGCAGAGCTGGCTCGCTGCCTCTCTGAGTCGGGGGCTCAGCTCTCCTCCCTGCTTCGCTCCCTCCAAGTCGCGCCCTCCTGGCTCCCTCCTCGCTCGTTCGCTCCCTCCCCCCCTCCCTCCCAGGACGGGAGCGCTCCTGTTGAATACTGCTCCTCCGAAGCAGACAGGTGTCTGAGGACTGGCACACTGACCGGGTTGCAGGGAAGCGGTGGGAACAGGGGCTTTAATCACAGTGGCATTGGGTTTCCATCACCATCTCACGTTTGGGGAAACTGAGGAGTAGGGAGGCTCTTAGTCCCTGTGCCTGTCAGAAAAGGGGCTGGAGACCCTCCCTCCCAGAGTGGGTTCCAGCTTAGAGCATCTCCCTGAGGTGGGGGGCTGCCCTGACGACTCCCCTTCTCCCCCGCCCATCAAGCCCTCATCTCCTCCAAGGCCAGTCCTTCCCAGGAGGAAGCCCGAGCCCCCCCCCCATCCTCTCTAACGCACTGTCCACATAAACAAGGCCCAGCCCCCTCCGTCTCTGCAATCTGCCTGGAGGTGGGCAGAGCCCTCTCCGCATCAGGTTAATAATGCCATTTTCATAAGCCTCTGCCCATAGGTGCTACCACCTAATTTTGAATCTGCCCTTCAAACGGATTGGGCCACAGAGGAGCTGGGATCTCAAGCACTGCTGGGAGGTGCTTATAACTAATCAATCCATCCCCCCCCCCCAGCACTCAGCACTCAGCACTGCCTTGCTGAACAGTCTTCAGCAGCAGGGTGCAGTGGGGAGCTCCAGACAGCCTGGGGTTCCATCCCAACCTGGCCTCATACCAGCTGAGACACGGTGAGTATGGGGCTTCACATTTCCCTGACTCAGTTTCCTCATCAACTGAATGAGGATTATGAGGCTGGTGCTCAGAGTTTTTACTGGGGTGAGTCCTAGGCAGACAGCCCAGCCCCTAGGCAGGGCTCCAAGAAATCTCAACTGCTATCATCTCCCCTGGATCACTTTATGTCCAGTGACTTACTCCCTGTCTCTTTCCCCCACCAGACTGAGCTTCCAGAACAGGAAGCTGTGACCGGCACTGCTTGGTGTCCAGCCTCCCACTCGAGTCTGGGCCTGAGAAGGTAGGTACACTGTGGTGGTTTGGGGAATGAGTGCATGGATGGATGACTGGATCCCACAGTCTGTGGGATGCCCAGACCCCACCGGGTTTCTGGCTCCCAGATACCCCCTCAACTGCCTCAGCTAGCCCTTCTAGGCAGCGGCCGGGAAAGCTGTTCCTTCCTGCCTTACCCCGGGGGTCCCCAGTGCAGTTACATACAATGGAAATTCTTGATGCACTAAATGCAGAAAATGCAATAAATGCAGTTTCTGCAGCCTGCTGCATCCACTGTGAGCTCACAGGCCAGGGGCTGCCTCTGGCTGACATGTTTCCTGCGATTAAGCCCACCCGAGGGGTCTCTGACAGTCGAGGTTCCCGTCTGCACTCCGGGCAGGGCCTCCCGAAAGGCCAGACTGTTTTCTTCCTCGCGCGACACTTGTTACATGTGCGCCTCCCTCCCTGGGCCCCGCTGTCTACTCCGTATGCATTCATGAAGCGTCTGATGTGTGCGAGGCTGCTCTTATCTCGTTCCGTCTCACGGGGAGGGAGCCCCTCTCTTATCTACTTCTCGGGGAAGAAACGGAGGCTGTGAAAAGCAAAGGGAGTTGCGTGGCTGCACAGCTGGGAAGCGGGGGGGGGGGGGGGGGTCCGGCTCCGGCTGCTGTGTCTGTCTCCGGAGCCCCTCGGCCCCTCCGTGGCCGCCTGCTGCCGCTGCCGCTGCCGCTGCCGCTGCTGCGGGCCGACCGGGGCCGGCCAGCCGCCAGCGGCTCCTGCAGAAAAGGCAGGGGGTTGCATAGAGAGCGTTCTCCCTGGCAACTAGCAGAGGGGCCATAAAAAACGGAGGGCTCAGACGCCGCTTAACAGAGAGATAGCAGCCGCTGGACCTGCGAGGGGACACCCGCGCCCTCCCCTGGGCTCTCGGCAGAACAGCAGGGCAAAGGGCTCCATCCCAGACCCAGGCGGGGCAGGGGCAGAGGCGCCCGGGACAGGTGTAGACGGCTGTGATCGGGACAGGGACGGGGACCCCCAAATCTGATCCCTCGGCGGGTGGGGGGCTTGCTAGCCGGCTCGGAAAAACAGAAGGCTTGACGCGAGCTAGCCGCCTGCAAAGAGCGGAGGGCAGAGGGGGCCGGGGGCTGCAGCGGAGGGAGGCAGATGCAGGAGCAGGGAGGGCTCGGCGAAGCAGCTCGGTGTGCGCGAGCCCTGAGCGGGCTGCTCGGGGAGAGAGGGAGCTCCCTGTTACAGGAGGCATCCGAGCAGAGAGAGGCAGGCCGGTACTTGGCCGGGAGGCTGCAGCAAGGCTCCCTGCCCGGGCTGGCAGCCCGCACGTCTAGGCCTCTGAGACGCTCCTACAGAGCAAAGTCCCGAGTGGGGCCGGCTGGGCTGCGAGAGGAGGCAGGCCGGGGTCAGCGCAAGGATGCGCAGACGCTCCCGTGCACCTTGCCCTGAGCTGCATGGCAAAGGCACCGAGATGGCTGGTGGAGCGCCGCTGTCACAATGAGGCAGTGAGGGAGAGGAGCGCAGGATGGGGGTGAGTGCTTGGGGCGGCGGGGGCGGGGAGGTGGGGGGCTGTCCTGCAGCCAACTCCCCATCTCAGGGCCGGCGAGCCACCTGGAGTGGCCAGGCGCCTGCTCCGGCTCCCAGGCCCAGAAAGGCTGGCCTGGGTCCTCTCTGGGGCAACAGGCTGGTGCAGCGGGTGGGTGGGGGGGTGCCTTCCAGCAGGAGGAAGGAGGGGGGGGGTCTGGTGAGTGGAGAGGCCTCCCGGTCATGGGAAAAGCAGGGCCCTTTTCTGGAGGCTGGGCCACAGCCGGCCCCTGAACCATGACTTGGATGCTCTGGGGACTCGTGAAAGCCCCCTCGCCCGGTGACGGGGCCCAGGGGCCTGCGTGTTGATGAATGCGGCCCACGCCGCGTCGGGCGCTGCTTCTCCAGGCCCATTCATGGGGGCTCAGTTCCCAGGAACTCTGGCTGGACGGGGCCTTTATCGGGGACCCCCCCGGAGACGAGGCTCTGTTGTGCAGTTTCTAAAGGAGTTAAGAATTCTTGTCTTTGTTTCCAGTGCAGGCGCTCAGCGCGTGTGCACGTGTGTGCATGTGTGCGTGTGTGTGTGTGTGTGTGTGTGTGTGTGTGTGTGTGTAACAGGCTGGTGGAGGTGCCAGCGGGGTCTGTGAAATGACCAGGCTGCCCAGGCTCACCCTCGAGGCAGGGACACGCTTCCACGGGGCAGTGTGATTTGGGGAGGGCAGGGCCACCCGGGGACCCAGGGATGCGGCCCCTGTCACTGTAGCCTAATTGCCCTGCTCCAATCAGCCCGGGCGCACTGTCGGGGTCCCCACAGCTGCTCTGACCCACCGTGGGGGGGCAGCAGCGTGTTGCTGGTGAAAAGTGCTGGCGGGCTCCCCACAGACAGGCTGCCCCCCCCAGCCCACCACCCCCCTTCAGAGCTGCGAGCTGGCCCTTGGGGAAAGTGCTTTTCAGAGCCTGGGGGGTTTGTTGTTATTTTGTCACTGCTCTCTGTTTTAATCTATTAAAGGACTGCTTTGCAACTGTCATTTGAAAATGTTGGGTAAAGTGGTATTTACATATGCGTAATGGTCTCTGCGGCATCACGTGGGGGAGGGGAGGTAATGCGGGTGTGCAACAGAAGTCACAGCAGGTAAGAAATTTTGCAAATGAAGGTTTCAGGTCAGGGGTCATCGGCGGCACAGGGGAAGTGCTCAGAATTGCACTGGCGTGGGTCTGAAAAGTCACCCAACCCACATCCCTAAGCAGGCAGAGGCCACAGGGCAGCAAACCCTTTGCCCCCCCCCCCACCATGCGCAGGCTCAGGGGGGCTGGGGAGGGGGCTCCTGCTGAGAACGGGGCACTCTTCCCCTCCCCATTACAATGGGCTCCAGACGAAAACAGAGCTCCCCTGTCCCCTGCCGCTGCAGTGAGGAAGTGGGGGTGGGGGGCTCGGCAGGAAGCGGGGGGCTACAGGGCAGAGGGGTGGAGGGCAGAGGGGTAGAGAGTAAGCAGCCCCGTAAACAGCCCCAGGGCAAGCGGCTGCAGAGTAAATAAAGCAAACATTTTGGAGAGAGGAGTGCGTGTCCCGCAGCCCAGGAAGTTCACTTTCGTGTAAAAGGCACCGTGGGAGCCAGGCTGGCACGGTACGGCTGCCCGGCGCACAGATCCCTCCTTCAGGCTGGGCCCAGCCCGGGGAGCGTTTTCTGTGAAATTCAGGAGAAGTCCGGTTTAGCCAGAAGTTTTTCCAGGAATTATTAACCTCTGGAGACTGTAGCCACTGTTCCTTCCGAGCCGCCCTTGCCAAAGTCTATAAAGTACAAGCCTCAAAAATCTGCCTGAAGAGCGGCCTGACATTTTATATATATTTATAAAAAATAGAATAAAATAAAATCAACGACTGCCATACTTTTCAGGAGAACCCAATTAAACCCGGCGGGGAACAGCCCACAGCCTGGGGGGGGGGGTGTTGGTGTTTCCCTTGGGGGCGGGGGCGGGGGGGGTTGAGGGGGCTGCGCTGGGGTCTTTATTCCTGCTCACACTCTTCCAGCCTTTTTATTTTCCTCTGTGGGTCTGCGGGAGGGAAGGTGAAGCATTTCAGACGGGCCGGGATGGGAAAGTCTGCTGTTTTCCAGCCGCTACTGTGCTGAGTGATTTATTTGAGCCATTGTCTCACTCCGCCTATCGCTACCCCGTGTGTACGTATGCTTTTCCGACCAGGAAACTGAGGCACAAGCATTCTTGGTGCCTTGCCAAGGACATGCACTGTGTCCCTCCTGCAGCTGGGTTTGTGCTCAAGATGGCCGGCTTCTCCGGGTGGCTCCCACCCACCACCCTGGGGGCAGGGAGAGGGGTGGAGGGGGAGAGGACCAAAACCTTGAGCAGCTGCAGGGACACTGATCCCCTCCCACAGGCAGTGAGGCCCTCTGCCCCCCGGGGTGATGGGGACCTGGCATCACAGTCCCGCTGCCCCAAAGCCTGTGCTCCTAGAACAGGACACTGTCCCAAACGCAGTGGCCACTCCGAGCCTCTCCTCTCTCCAGACCCGCACCATCCCCCCAGCTGGTGGCCCTGCTGTCACTTGCTTAGACTTACCTCCTCTTATGTTCTGGGACCAGGGCCCTTCCCCACTGGCAAGGAGAAGCTCATAAAAGATGCCGTCAACCATTTCCAGGCCCTAATTATGTCCCCCAAACACATCACCAGCCCCCTCGTCCTGAAATGCTACTGTCCCTCACTCGTGAACCACATCCTAACCACGTCCTCACGGCAGGCATGGAGGGAACCTGGAGTTGCGCCCCGAGGGCAGGACAGAGCAGTTTGGGGCAATGGGGGCAGTGAGGCCCTGGCCCCCAGGCATGTGTCTGTGGTCCGTGGCACAGACAGTACTCACCCAGGGCACAGGACAGACGTCTCAGTCCTCAGGAGGAGAACAGGAGGCCTTTTCAGTCAGAGGAAGTCAGATCCAGGTGACACAGGGGCCGAGGGCACTGGACAGGGACAGAGGAAAGGGGGCGATTAACAGGTTGGGGGTCGTGAATTCTAGAAGAATGCAAAACCTTCTCCTGAACGAGGAAACCGTGTTAGGGAAGTATGGCCCTTTGAGGGGGGGCTCTGCTTTGCTGGACTTCTGAACAAGGTGTTAGGGGGACTTCACCGTGGGGTACGTTTCAAAGCCTGGTCCTCGGGGTTGAAAAGTCACGGCCGAAGCCCCCAAGTGTCAAAGGCAAGGCCCATGCAGACAGGAGCAAGTACCTTGGGGCTGCAGCGTGCCTGCAGGGGTGGGGGCGGCGGGACGAGGGGTGAGGGGAGAGGCTGGGAAGCTCCCACCCAGACCCCGAAGGGTCCTACGTGCCAGGCTAAGGCTCTTGGACTGCATCCCAGAAGTTCCAGGAAGTCAGAGGGAGGATTTAAAAGCAAGACAGTGACAAGGTCAAAATGGCATTTTAGAAAGATCACACAGTGAAAATAAACTTTGCAAACCATTTAACCCGGCTACCCCACCTCCAAGAAGCCGGGATAAAGGAACAGCCACGGGTGTGTTTACAGTTACAGCCATAAAAAAGCTCGTTGCAGGGCTGATCGCAATAACAGCACATGGGAACGGCTCGGGCCCTTTCTAGTGGGCGTCCGTGGAGCAAAACCATATGAGTTAAAACTTCAGTTCGTGACAAGCTCCTTTATCTGGACCAGGAGCACTTTTATTTTATGGGTTCATTTTTGTTTATTTTTGTAAATAATAGAACAAGAACCCATGAGCCTGTGACCTCCCTGCCCCCACCCCCACCCAAACGAGCAGGACTTTGACCCAAGCTTCCATCCGGATGCCTTCTCCTCCCCTCCAGCACGCTTACAGCTGGGATCTTGAACAATAGGAGAGGGTCTAATGAACAATGGTGCATACATACCCCGGAATATTAAACAGCTCTTAAAAAGAATGAGACAGAGGAGACCTATTGTCTTTTAATGGACCTCAGTATTTTGCGCAGAACTGGATTAATCACGAGGCTTTGTTCATAAACACTCTGTCATCATTGGTCCAGGCATGTCCCTCTTTTATTTTGCTAATTTATGCATCCATAGATTCATCTGTGATAATGTCATAAACACATGTGAGCCGACTCCTCAGACCCCGAGCTCAGAAATTACTTACACCTGCCACCACACTCCGTCCCCACGGGGTAAGGACCTGGGGCTCTCGGGGCGGCGGTGAGGGGGTTAAATCAACCTGGGCGCCAGCTGATTACAGGGCACTAAGGTGTGTGATAAGGAGCGAGGTGTCGATCTTTATTATCTCCAAGCGGATTCCCGCATGAAGACGAATAAGCTACACAGAAGGAAACATGCACTGTGATGCAGTTTATGTAGAAAATAAGCAAAACCACCTATTTCAGAGATCAATTTATAGACATACATAAATGCACAGAAAAATATCGAGCCGTGCACCTGAAACTGTTAACAGCAGTTGGGGGGGAGGTGGGGTGGGGGGAGCTCGGCTGGGCCTGAGGGGAGGGTGCAGATGGCTTTAGCTTTTATGCGCAGTGTTTGGTTTTTAGTAATGAGTGTGTTCATTATCAGTGCGTTGCTTGCATAATTAAAATAAACATTTGTGTGGGGGTTTTGGGGTTTTTTTCCCCATTTGTTTGTTTGTAGGGCTTGGGTGGGGGGGTTGTTTTTCCTTTTTTACAAAAACAAAATGAAGGGCATTTGGGCTGACGGCCCAGGATTGGGCACTTACCCCCAAAACACGTTCCGCAGACACGGAGTTGGGGGGGCGGTTATTTTATCCCCAAGATCATTCCTTTTTAAATTTTGTATGTTCTAAAGCTGGAGCCTGCCCCCCCCCCCCACGATGGCGTGTCAATGACATGAGGCCAGCAGGTGTGTGCCTGCCGGCTGCGATTTCACCACCCACAGGCCCCAGAGCCTTCCAGAGCCGCCCAGCGGCTGTCTGCAATGCACCCATCGGGAAGGACTTTCCTTTTCGTTCTGTAAGAGGCCCCCATAGCTAATGCCCTGGCCCGTGTTCTTGGGGATTAGCTAACCGGAATGAGAATTCCAGGAGAATGTGACATGAGATAGGCCTGGCCAGGGGGACGTGCGGGCCTCCGGGGAGCGGCAGCCCCTCAGCTCACATGCGTCAACAGCCTTGCAGCTTGCTGGCAACAAGCCGGGGCCTGGCCGTGTCCTCTGACAGCAAGATCCCCATGCAGAACCCACAGCTGCCACGTTTACCCCCCGGTTCGAAACAAGAGGGAGCATGGCTCAAGGGCATTGGTATTCTAACTTGTCCGCCCCCATCTTGTCCTGGGTAGCGCATGGCACCCCGGCCTCCCATCAGAAGGCCCCTCTCTCAGGGTCACCTCAACTCCTGCTTGCCCGCTGAACATTAGCCTCAACTCCCCAGGCCCCTCCACAGCTGTCTCAGCCATCAGAGTCCATGAGCAGGCTCAGGGCCGATGGCGCAGCCAAAACTGCCCTAGTCTCTTCCACTGATGGGAGGTGCCAAGGCTCAGAGACACCCCTCCTCCCCCGCCAGGGACACAAAACCATGCCAACCTTGAACCCAATTGGTCTGAGCCCGCTTTCCATTTACAGCCTGGCGTCCATCTGCACAGATCAATTAACTGATCAATGGGGTCAAGTCTCTCGTCTTGCTAACACAGACAGGGACCTTCTAGAACTTTCCTCCCCTCTGCCAGGCAGAGATCTATTTTCAACCATGACTTTGTGCGGAAGAAATGTGAGCCCAGGTTAACCAGCCGTCTGCACGTGAGGCTCTGCTATTTATTACATAGTATTTTCTCTTGGCCTGGGTTTGGTCCCGGTGAATACTTTGGGGTATTTGTCATCATTTTTCAGATATGAAATACGCTGCGATAAATAAAAATAAAATGTGGACCCGGGTTGACATCACCTGTATCTAACTCGGGGCCAGGGCAATTCAACACGAAGACCCTCACTCCTCCAGAAGGGCCACATAAATCCAGGCCATGCTGGTTACACGCTACATGGTTCTCTCCAGACAAGGCTCTCTGGATCCTGACACGGACCCCTTGTCCCTCCTCCCCTGGGCTTCCCTCGGGGCTCTATGAGGAGGGCTTTCAGAGAGGCTAGGGACAGATTCCCCTCCAGTAAGAGTTTTTATCTGGGGTGAGTACCTACTGTGTGCCAGGCACTTTCTATTTTTATTTCACTTAAAGCATCAAGGCAATGCTCCAAGATGGCCGCCCCGATCCTACCGAAGGGGAGGGGGATTCACCGTCACTTGACCAAGGTTACCCAGGAGAACTTGCCCTCCCTGGCCCCCACCAGGGGCGTTGAGCCCCCATTAGAGATGTCCCACTTGTCAGCACCCCTCTGTATCGTGGTCAGAGATCTGAACGCCTCCCTCAATGACATGCAACACAGTGACAGCGTTATTCTGGACTTCTCTCTGTATCACCATATTAACACTGAGTCAGCCTGCACTCCTCCACGCCTCTCCCTCCCCAGTCTTGTGTAAAGACAGGGCGTACACACCTGGCCTGCTGTGAGGTCAGCGTAGGAGGGCCCCACTCCCCTCTGGGCATGGTGGCATCCTGGAACGGGGGGCCAGGGCTAGGCCGCACCCCGGCCTCTGGAGCGCCCTGACTCACTGCCCATCCAGGGGGGCAGTGAGCCTCACCTGCAAAATTAAGGGCTCAGGTTAGTTCCATTCTGAGGGGCCCACACATTTACAAATAGTCCAAATTTACAACTCAGGAAAAATACATGCATTTTTCAGACCTTTCGCTTCCATCCAGGGCTGGGCCTCTGTTCCCTTTCTGGGGGAAAAGCTGTCTCACCTCCAGCCACCTGGGAGGGGAGAAAAGAAACAGCTCAGAGTGCAGCCCACCTCTCAGAGACGCCACCTCAAGCCTGGCCTGCTGCCCTACTGTGCAGCGAGGGAGGGTGGGACGGCGTCGCAGGTGCACACTGGCCCTCGGGGCGGGGGTGGGGCGAAAACTGGGGACAAAGGAAGTAACACCTTCACAGGCTGTCCTAAGGATTAAAATTCTTAAATCAGTGTCTGGCACATAGTAAGTGCTCAAGACATAGGATGCAGGGACCCAAAGGTAGCAATGTGACTTAGGCCTGGGAGAGAAGGAGGGAAGAAGGGTGTGGAGTGTGCTGTGACCTGAACAAGGGAATGTGCAAGCACATCCTAAGGCCAGGACCCTCATAATTAAAGAAATGCATGTGTCCAATAACTTTGTAGAAAGAAGAGAGATTCCAGTCAACAGCGCGACAGGATCAGAGCCGCTGACCACCTGCATCAAAGGTAAGATTTGGGGTGGAGGTACCATGCTGACCTTCCCCCAGGGTGGGGGGCATCTGGGGAGAGGGGGTGTCGAGCAGTACAGGGTAGGGGGGGTTTGGCTGGCCCGCACTGGGGAACAGAGGTTAAAGGGTTAGTTTGTCTGCAGGAAAAAACTATGTCATGACATGGTGAACTCGGTACCTCGTTCAAACACTCGGGTGGCTGTGATTAGTAGGTTCAAGGCCAGCTGTCCAGTCTGTCCCTCTGCCAACAACCAAATTAGCCAAAATGGGTTGGCAATGACCACATGAGCTTTTCAGGGAGACAGAGGCAGACACCGAGGCCCCTCTGGTCTGGCCTCCAATTGCGTCACGATTACCATGGAGGAAGGCAGCATTTCCGGCGAGGGTCCCTCGAAGGTCCCCAGACGGCCACTGTCCACCCCCGACCCAGGGCATCGGTTCCTGCTTTCTCTTTCCACAGTGGAAACAGGAAAACCCGACTTTCCACACTGCTGCTTCCTTCCTAACCTGGGTTTCCCCAGCGCGGGGCGGTGAAAACTCTGCCCTGGGCCGCGCGGCTGGGATCCTGTCTGAAACAGAGCAGACGCTGGGGAGACATCACTTTCGATACAGAAATTCGAGTCGCCCCTCTCTGGATGGCACTGGCCTCCACGTGCGCACAGCCCGCCCCCCGCTAGCTTCCCTCATCGGTGGGCTGGGAGGCTGTGGCACTGCTGATTCGAGCTCCAGGGAAATCACTTCGGCCCTTGGGGCTCCGGCACACTCACTTGCCTTGTGGCATGAGCACAGAAATTACAGTCGGCTCAGGCGTGAAAATGTCCCCTGAGGGCTGACCATCCAGTGACAATAGGCTTTCGAAGAGTCCCCACGATAATCCCGATAATCCCAGGCCCTTCCTCGTTGGGAGCACCTCCCAGCTTACAAAGGGCACGTCTCCCCTGGGGAAGGAGTCAGCCTCCGACTCTGGCCCCTACTTCTACCTGCACCGAGGCCAAGCCCCCTTCACCCCTCAAATGCCTCACCCCCTTCCTCCCAGAACCCCCTGCCCCCAGGCCCACAGCTCCTGGCCTGTCCGTGCTGGGCACAGAGGGCCCCCACCAGAGACGAAGAGATTCCACGAACCCCCCCCAGCTCCACTGTCAGACAGGATACACCACGGACAGAACGAGCCAGGCTGTGCCCCAGGCATGACTTACATGTGGGGACCACTCTTGAAACCAACTAGTATGAGGAGCCCCAATTTCCAATACTATTTGTAAAGGGGATGAGGACCGCTAGCTTCCGGACTTGAGGCAGGGTGGGGTCCCTGATCTCACCGGCTCAGCCAACCCCCGCCTCTGACTGCAGCTCCCCAGGTCACCCCTCAGGCAGCTCCCAGGACCCCCGAGCTACGGGAACCTAGTGACAAGACCCCCTGCCCAAGCCCTTCTTGCAGTTCCGGGGAAACTGAGGGCCCAGGAGGCGAAGGTCATGCTGAAAGTCAGCATGGGTCCCAGGCGGGCAGCTGGCGCTAGCTCCTTCCTCTGCCCGCTTGCCTTTCAAGGCAAGCGCAGCCTGGGGAGCAGCTGATTGGCCTGGCCCATTTGGGCAACCCAAGGAAGAAGGACACTCTCGTGCGTGACCCCTCTCCCGCTCCCTCCCAGGGTTATTCTGGGCAGAGCGACCAGCTGCCCCTGGAGGGCATGAAGGCAGGGGGGTGGGGCAGGGGCGACAGGGACTAGACTCAGGCCGATTGCTAAGACGGGGGCACTGCCCCTTGCCCCGATGGGGACCCCCACACAGCCGGTTTGGGGGTGGAGGAGAAGCCCTGGGCTGAGCCCCAGCTCTGCCGTGACTCCGTGTCCCTCCCGAGTGACAGCAACCCCCCTCCCAGAGGCGGTTTTCCCAGTGAGGTCCGAGGCCCAGAGCCCAGGTGAAGGGACGGAAGAAAGACCAGAGCGGGCTGCTCTCGGTCAAGATGCGGAGGGTCTCCCGGCCACAGGGCCCAGGTGGTCTTAATCCACAGAGCAGGGGGTGAAGAGGCAAAGCTGGAGTGTACAGGGGTCCGCAGGACCCAGGGCCCACCCGAGCTCGTCGCGGGGCTCTCAGGGAGCCCCCTAGGAAGTCCCGACTGGCGAGCGGAGTGGGGAGAGCGGCCGCACCACCCATCTACACCAGGAGACCAAGGAGCCCCAGCCCTGGCCTCACAAGGGAATGTCTTGACCTTGACACTAGTTCAGCAAAATAACTACCACCACCCTGCAGCTCCCCGCGGTGTCCCTGCGTGTCCACCCCCCGTGGTGAAGCTCAGCAGGTCTGGGGCAGTGGAGGGAGTGAACTGGGGTATGAATGGCCAGGGCACGTAGCCCTCAAGACCTGGAAGCTCTGTCCCTGCAAGCCAAGGAGTCCCGGGGGCGCCCAGAGGCGGCCAAGCCAGACAAGGGTCTGCGCCTGACCCCGGTCCCGATGACCATTCTGGCACCCAGAGGCCAAGGCTGTAGGGCCAGCGCTGGTGTCTGAGAGGCAGGAAAAGGGAGCACACATGAGAGAGTGCCCGAGGTCCCCAGTCTCCCCTGCGCCCTCCCGCCTCCTCTTCCTGGGCTCTCCCTCCACCTTCGTCCTCGGCAACTCGGGCTGCTCACCCCCTCCCTGTCCTCACCTCTCCCCTGCTCCCCGCCCCAGGCTCAACTCTGCTCCTAAATATCCCTCATCTCCTCTTCCAAGCTCTATTTTTAAAATCAGATTTCCTTTACTGTACAAGTGAGCCGACACGGCGAGGTATTCGCTGAGGGAGTGGCCCCCCCCGGCCCCCCCACAGCCAACCCTTCATAGACTCACGCTGGCAGCCTTGACCCAATGGGCCACTTGCTCAGCAGCAAGCAAGGAGCTGACCTGGCCGAGAAGGCTCTGGGCACTGAAGGTGGTGAGGCTGGGGTGTCTGTCTATGAGTGTCGGGGAGGGAAAGGGTCCAACTCAAGAGACCGCAAGGGCACTTCTGACCCAGACCACGTGCACTAAATCCTCATTTTTATACAGGGTTTTTTTTTTTTTTTTTTTTTTTTTTTTTGCTAAGGTGAGAATTGCCAAATCAGTAGATAATTCTTCAAGAAATTGTCCTGAGGCCTGAGACCTCAGCGTTTATCAAGCTACATTTGTCAGACTGACAATATTACCTCTGGGGAACTACAGCAGATGGGCGTTTGGAGGGCAGGAGTCCGAAGGAAGCCGTAGCCACCGTAGAGAGCCAGACGTGGGGGGCCAGAGGGGCCAGAGGCACCTACGCTGTGCAAAACGATGCCCCAGCACTGCCCAAAGTCCTTCCCCAAGGGACAGGTGGCTGAGCCCACCGGAGGCTCCACGGAGACACTCCCCAGCGGTAGAGGGAGACCCGTGACCCTGACCCTCCCGGGCCCCCCCACTCACCTCCAGCACAACACCCTGTCGCCATGACGGCGTGCTCCTCTTCCTGCTTGGATGTCCTCCAAAGCAAGGTGGCTCCAGTCTCTTCCCATCGGGGATCGCACACAGTGCCTGGCCCAGAAAAAAGAATCGAGCCATGTTGCCGTAATGAATTAATGAAATGTAGACAGAGAGACTAGCTTAACAACATAAAAATATCCAGGACTATAACATTAAGATGAGTGTAGGGGCAGTGGCAGGAAGTAAGAAACCCAGTGTTTGGGGACTGAAGTGTGAAAGGAGCAAGGAACAGCATCTAAAAACAGAGGAGGGTGAACACTACTGTTTTCGTGCAAAGGGATCGAAGGTTTATTTTCTAAGCTGCGAAGAGCCGATGTAAAGATGGTCTTAATGTAACAAATATCTGGTCCAATTTTCATTTCACGCTCAGGCATTTGGGTTTTATGCTTTGGACATGAAATTCGAAAGGTTTTACAAACACCGTGATTGAAGATACAGAGATGTTGATACGTGTTGTTAGTGTTGAAAACACAGGAAAAGATTTTAGGCGGGATTCTAGGACGAGATGGGGGGTTGGGGGTGTTCTTTATTTTAAGGAGTTACTGGAGCGGGTTTTTATATCATACTAAGGAGTTTGGATTCTTGCCAAAGGGTCTTAAGAAATGTGATGGTGGGATTTTTGCTTGTGGACGATAAATCCGCGGTGGGGGGGGAGGGGGAGGGGATGAAAAAAATGTATTTCAAGGCTAACAGCTTTGGGCTTTACAATATAGGGAACATTGAAAAACTGTAAATAGAGGGGCGCCTGGGTGGCTTAGTCGGTTAAGCGTCCGACTTTCGCTTGGGTCATGATCTCGCAGTTCGTGGGTTCGAGCCCCGCGTCGGGCTCTGTGCTGACTGCCAGCTCAGAGCCTGGAGCCTGTTTCAGCCTGTGACTCCCTCTCTCTGACCCTCCCCTGCTCACGCTGTCTGTCTCTCTCTCTCCCCTAAAAATAAATAAAACATTAAAAAAAAAATAAAATAAAATAAAGAAAAACTGTAAATAGAAAAGCAAGAGCCACAAATTTAAGTATCCTGCAAAAACCTTTGCACCTTATATCTTGAGGGGAGTCAATGTGTGACTTTCAGAGATTTGATGGATGCCGACACCAAAACTGAAAAACTTCAATCGTAAGAGTTATATGATCAGCACTAGGAACACGCAAAGAAATTTGAAATTTATTTTGAGGCTCTGACATGATTGGAGCTCTGTGCCTGCCTAGCAATCTGATTTTAGCCAATGAAAAGTTCTAAGAGAGTGACATGGACGGATTTTTCTGTGGTTGATAAATACTATGCAGTGAAATTAGAAAATAAAATTCACATTTTATGCTAAGAGTTTGGACTTCTATTCTGTAATTTCACAATTAAGAGACACTGTGAAGACTTTAAGGAGGAATTACAAGATCAGATTTTATATGCTGTGCTGGGAAGTGTGAACTTTATTTTAAGGGATGACAAGATCGAATTTTTATATCATGCTAATAAGTTTGGATTTAAGCCAATGAAGGGTTCACAAGAATGATGGGATGAGATTTGGGTTGTTGTTTTTTTTTGTTTTTTTTTTTATAGACCAGCCTGCAGATAAAGTACATGGTAAAATGTTGTATTTTATGTTAAGTAGTTGAGATGTTATGTTACGGGCAATGAAGAAACCTTGGAAAGTTTTAAATCGGGAGTTACATGATCAAACTTATGCGTTTTGGCGGAGCTACAAGATTGAGTTTTTATGGTAAAGATACTATGATCAGATTTTTATAACATGCCAAGGAGATGTGATTTTATGTTAGAGCATTTCATCTTGGGGAGGGATATGATCTCATTTTTGAACCCTCATGCAGAGGCGTCTGGATTTTAGCCAGTAAAGCGTTTTAAGGAGTGACGGATGAGAGCTCTGTCTTCAGGGGAATTAGCTGGTACAATGTGTTTTATGCTCAGGTGTCTGGATTTGATGAACCAGATTATGAACGCGCATTGACAGCCCAGAGAAGGTACCCCCTTGGCCCAAGTGCACCCCGTCTGTACTTTATGCTGAAGAATTAGATCATTTACAGCAAGCAGTATAGAGGTGGGGCAGGTCTTAGGCAGAGGGTATATGATGGAGTTTACATAGCATGCTGAGGAGTTTGGACCTTATTTTGAGGAAAGACAGAATACATATTTGTGCTGTGCTAAGGAATTTGGATTTGGGCCATTAAGAGATTTTAAGAGAGTGACGTGGTAACATTTCTGTGTTTGATAAAAAGTCTGCAGAGACATCGTATAGCAATATGTGTATATCGTGTTAAGGAGTTTAGATCTTATCTCATAGGTAATTAAACGATCTTATAAGGCACGAAGCATAAGTTACAAGACCAAATCCGAGTACCTTGCAAAGAAATGTGACCTTTTATTTTGAGGAATGACACGGTCAACTTTTATATAATGCTTAGAGGTCTGGAACTAAGCCACTAAACTTAAATTCAGTTTAAGAACTGGCCTGGTAAGATTTGGGGATTTATATCCATCAGTTTGCAGATAAATTACACGGCCAAACTTTTTATTTTATGCTAAGTGATTGGAACTTGATATTAGAAGCAATAAAAAGAAACTTTCTTAAGTTTAAAGAGAGCAGTTACGGGACAATTTTTATGCATCCTGCTGAAAGTTTGACCTTTGATGCTAAGGTGTGCGAAGATCAGATTTTTGTAACACGCAAAGAATATTAAATTTTAGATTGAAAACAGAAAAGGTGAATGATTGAATCAGTCACATCATCAAATCTGTAAATATGTTAAGACATATGGATTTGTATTAGAAGGGGTATAGTCTAGGGGCGCCTGGGTAGCTCAGTCGGTTAAGCATCTGACTTCAGCTCAGGTCATGATCTCACCGTTCGTGAGTTCAAGCTCCACGTCAGGCTCTGTGCTGACAGCTCGGAGCCTGGAGCCTGCTTTGGATTCTGGTTCTCCCTCTCATTCTGCCCCTCCCCTGCTTGTGCTCTGTCTCTCTCTCTCAAAAATAAATGAACGTTAAAAAAAAAAATTGTTAAGGGTATAATCTAGTTTTTAAATTATATGGCAAGGAGTTTACATTTTAACCAATAAACGGTCTTAAGGATTTTAAGAGACATACTGAGATTTTAGATTTTAAATTTTAACCAATAAAGAGTTTTTAAAGTTTTAAGAGCTATATAGATTTTATATTTAAAATTTTTAATTTCAGCCAATTTAAATTTTTCAATTTTAAGATTTAAATTTCAGCCAACTTAAAATTTTAAGTTTCTTTTTAATGTTGATTCATTTTTGAGAGACAGAGAGAGACTGAATGTGAGTGGGGCAGGGGCAGGGAGAGAGGGAGACATAGAATCTGAAGCAGGCTCCAGGCTCTGAGCTGTCAGCAGGGCTCAAACCCATGAACAGTGAGATCATGACCTGAGCCGAAGTTGGACACCCAACCAAGTCACCCAGAGGCCCCTAAAATTTTAAGTTTTAACGTTTAGCCAATAAAATGTTTTTAAAGTTTTAAGAGCTATCTATACAGCTTTCATGTTTAAAATTTTAAATTTTTGCAAATTTCAATGTTTCAATTTTCAATTTTATCCGATAAAGGGTTTTTAGGGTTTTAAGAGAGATACAGATTTCATTTTCAATTTTAATTTTAAATTTTAGCCAATACATTTTAAATGTTAGCCAATAAAGGGTTTTAACAGTTTTGAGACATGCACAGATTTTGTATGTAAAATTTTAAATTTTAGCCAACTCAAATTTTTCCATTTTAAAATTTCAATTTCAGCCAATTCAAATTTTTCAAGTTTTAAGTTTTGGCCAATAAAGGATTTTAAGAGACATACGGAGATTTTAATTTCTAATAGATGAGTCTGCAGATGAATTAGTCAAATTTTATATTTCAATTAGTTATATTAGGAACTTGGAATTGTACTCTTATTACAAATGCCTTATAGGACTTCAATGAGGACAAACGAGTTAATTTAGATACTGTGCTACGTATATATTGTGGTGATGGTGACGATGGCAATGGCGATGATGGCTATTTTACATCACTGGTGCATCATGCTAGAAAATGAAATCTCTGCCTTGAAGAATGACATGAGCAGAATTTTCTATTATTCTAAGGCCTTTACGGTTTAGCCAGAGAATGATTTTGGTGAATTTCTGTGTCAGGAATTTTTATGCTAAAAGGTTTGGATCTAATACTGTGCACAGTAAATAAACAACAAAACCTTTTAATCAGAGGCTCTGCAGGATCGAATTTAAGTGTCACGCTAACAAGAACGTACTTAATTTTGAGAAACAGCGGATCAGAATCCTGTATCTTGTGGGAAAGTTTGGATTTTAGCCAATGAGGGAATGCTTTTTTTTTTTTTTTTTTTTTTTT